AGGCACCTGGTGAGTGCTCAGGGATGACCCTCCTCGGCACCTGCCCCGAGGCCAGCACCGCCCACCAGGTAGCAACTGTCCCAGGTCAACAGGGAGGGAACACAGCAGGTCACACTCACCTGAGTCTGCTGATCCAGCTGTGCCTCTCACTCAGGAAAGCCTCCTCTGCGCAGAACCAGACACCGCTGTGTGTCTTGTCTCCAAGAGCTCCAGACACAGAAGGCAGCCGGGTAGGCAGCGGGGACTCAGCACCAGTGACATTGTGGGGTCACGGCACCCATCACAACGGGCCCTCGCCTGGGTCAGCAGGGCCCAGAGTCAGCGTCCTTCAGCCCCGAAGCATCAACATGTGTGCATGCAGTGTGTTTGTGAACGTGAGCATGCACACATATGTGGGTGAACACGTGTGCATATGGTGTGTTGCTTCTATGGCTGGGCCAGGTGGCCCCATTCATGTACACACTCAGGTCCTTGTCACTGTCATCCCCGACCCTGGGCCTGTGACCAGCATCAGAGTGTCCACAGGTGCTCCCCAACCTAAGCCCTCCCTAGGTGGGGCAGTCCTGTGGGTGGGGGGCAGAGAATTGAGGGTGGAGGGCAGAGGGCAGGCCCTCTCTTTAGCAGGGGACTCAGCTAGGGTGTAAAGTGCTAGGTCTGTGTGACAGGGCTGGATTCCACACATCTGCTCACCTCTTTCTCCCAGTAGCCCTCTGGGGTGACGTGACTCATCTCCACTACAGATGGCAGCAAGCTAGCTCCAAGGACAAACCACTGCATGAGGTCACCCAGAGGCCAGCTGGCCAGGACCCCACTAACAAGGCCCCTGCTGACCAATGCCTCCCACAAGACCTTCACTGACCAGATCCTGACTGATCAGGCTCTTGATGACCAAGCCCCCAGTAATCAGATCTCCACTGATCAGGTCCCCACTGACCAAGAAGACCCATTGACCAAGCACCCAATGACCAGGTCCTCACTGACAATCCCTCAATGACCAGGCCCCCTGACCAAGTGTCTGATGGCCATGTCCTTTCTGATCATATTTTTTTGTGACCAAGTCCTAAAGTCCAAGTCTCTGCTGACCAGGCCTCTCCTGCCCAGGTCTCTGAGCCATGGTGCTCAAAGTCTTCTTTCAATGACCCCCCTCCGTCCACAGAGCCACCCCTCCCCACATTGGCACCCATAGGCCAGGTACTGGGGGTCTTCTCAGGTCAGGGGCCCTCCTCTGGGACACAGGGAGGGACACTGGGCCCCAGGCTTTGGGTGCCCAGCTTCATGCTCACCCCACAAGACCCTCTGGGCCCATCTCAAAGGGAGTGGGGAGGTGGCCTGGCACCACCTGGACACACTGTCTGGGCCTATCACTGAGCCACACAGCCAGAGGAATGGGGGGACGTTTGTCAGACCAGGCATCCCGCTCTGTTGGGTCTCCCAGGGCCCTTCCCTCGGAGCCCAGATCTAGAGACACAGCCCAAAGGCTGCAGGGTGACCGGCCCAGAACCCTTGAGACTAGGCTGGGGACCACACAAGAACTGTCCCTAGACAGCCAGAAGACACTTTGCTAGTTTCTTGTTCCTCATTTCTCACCAGCTACCTTTCCCCCACCAGGAATCCTGCTCATGCAGAGTCAATGAGGAGAAGAAGATGGTCACAGAATCCGTGGAAAGAAAGAAAACAAAAGATGGGTGGGGAGAAGAGTTGGGAGTGTAGCGTTATAAGGGTCCTACACTATGCATGTTATTTGAGGGTTGACTGTGATTAATTAAAGGTGTATCTTGTAGACAACCATTACACACACAGTATTTACATACACACACACACACACACACACACACACACAGAGAGAGAGAGAGACAGAGAGAGTCTTGCTCCATTACCCAGGCTGAAGTGCAGTGACCCAAACACAGCTCACTACAGCCTTGACTTCCCAGGCTCAAGCGATCCTCCCACCTTAGCCTCCTGAGTAGCTGGGACTACATGTGTGGGCCCCCATGCCTGACTGCTTTTGAAATGGTTTCTAGTAGAGACGGGATCTTGCTGTATTAGCCAGGTTGGTCTGGACCTCCTGGCCCCAAGCAATCCTCCAGTCTCAGCTGGAAGTGTTGGGATTACAGGCATGAGCCATTGCACTTGGCTTACACATGTTTTTAAGAAGCATAAATACGGCCGGGCGCGGTGGCTAAAGCCTGTAATCCCAGCACTTTGGGAGGCCGAGATGGGCAGATCACGAGGTCAGGAGATCGAGACCATCCTGGCTAACACGGTGAAACTCCGTCTCTACTAAAAACACAAAAAATGAGCCGGGCATGGTGGCGGGCACCTGTAATCCCAGCTACTCGGGAGGCTGAGGCAGGAGAATGGCGTGAACCCGGGAGGCGGAGCTTGCAGTGAGCTGAGATCCGGCCACTGCACTCTAGCCTGGGCGACAGAGCGAGACTCCGTCTCAAAAAAAAAAAAAAAAAAGAAGCATAAATATGAAGGTCAGTGTTGCCATGAAGTCAGGCAGGGGTTGGCAAACTATGGCCCACAATCCAGATGCAGCCCCACTCCTGTTGTGGTGAATAAAGGTTTATTGGAGCCACAGTTCCTCCCCTGTGTTCACTTCTTGTCTGTGACTGCTCTGGGGCTGTAGTGGCGGAGCTGAGTAATTGTTGAGTAGGTGCAACAAAGACCACAGGGTCCACGAAGCCCAAGATGCTTACTACCAGGACTTTGCAGAAAAATCTTCCTGAGCCCTGGGGAGGGAGCCAGGTGGCAGCGGGGAGGCCATCCGGGAGGCTGGTACAGTAATCCAGGCGAAAAATGATGGGAGCTCAGATTAAAGCGATCGTGACAAGTGGCTGGAATCATGACGTACTTTGGGGATAAGACCAACAACACATGGATAGAATGGACAGTATTTAGGTATTTAGAGTTGCAGATGTTCTTTCTACCAAAGGACCCGTTCTAAAAAAAAAAGTACAAAAGATCAATTTAAAAATCTGACCAAAGAAACACCACCACAAGATTATTTGTGTGATTGGAGCTGGGGTTGAGCCTGGGTACCTTGTGCTTTCAGCACCTGTAACACCCTGGCTGTTCCAGAGGCACCCTACAGAGCCCCTTGGGTTCAGACAAGCTGAACTTGAAACCACAGATCAGAAGGAATAGAAATCTGCGTATCTTTCACACAAGCTGTAACATTCTAAGCCGCATCTTTGCAGCACACTGACGTGGGGCTACTTCACGCGCAGCCAGTAAGTGTCTGCGCCAGTTCCGGGATTTGTGTCCACCCTGTTATAAGAAGGCAGCTGCTTGTGTGAGGCATGGCGGTGAGGAAACAATGCCACCCAGATCTCACCATTGGCTGTGTGGACTGGCTGTACCATGGGCCAGACGCATGTCTTGGGCAGACACTTTTTAGATGCCAACTTGCCTGTAGACAAAGATGACGCAGAGGTGGCCTCGGGGAGGGCCTGCGTGATAGGTTGAACTTGTCCCCTGAAATTCCTATGTTGATGTCCTTAGCCCCAGTGCCTGAGAATGTGATCTTATTTAGAGACAGTATCTTATAGAAATAAGTTAAAATGAAAAATGAGGTCAGTAGGGAGTACCCAATCTAACCACTGGTGTCCTTACTATAAGAAAAGGAAATGTGGGCCGGGCGCGGTGGCTCAAGCCTATAATCCCAGCACTTTGGGAGGCCGAGACGGGTGGATCACGAGGTCAGGAGATCGAGACCATCCTGGCTAACACGGTGAAATCCCGTCTCTACTAAAAAATACAAAAAACTAGCTGGGCGAGGTGGCGGGCGCCTGTAGTCCCAGCTACTTGGGAGGCTGAGGCAGGAGAATGGCGTGAACCTGGGAGGCGGAGCTTGCAGTGAGCTGAGATCCGGCCACTGCACTCCAGCCTGGGTGACAGAGCGAGACTCCATCTCAAAAAAAAAAAAAAAAAGGAAATGTGGACAGAGACACACAGAGGGAAGACGAAGTGAGGAGACACAGGGAAGGCCACCTACATGACAGGAGAGAGGCCTGGAACAGAGCCTTCCTGGACCACCCTGGAAAAGGACCTTCCCTGCCAACACTTTGATCTTGGACCTACAGCCTGCAGGACTATGAGACAGTGAGATTCTGTTGCTGAAGCTGCCCAGTCTGTGATACTTTAAGGGAGCCCTAGCAAACCAATGCAGCCTGTTAGCCCACAGATGATGAAAAGATGGAAAGAGAGACGGAGCCCCAGGCTACCTGTCTACACTTCCCAAAGTGCGCTAAGGGATCCTTTGGTGGGTGCAGGTTTGCAAGATAATTTTGGGAGGTGCAGGGTGCATAATTTCAATGTACATTATCATGGATTTATCTTACCGTGAAAATACTTCTAAGAATAGTTTACTTAAGGTTTACATGCTACTCAAGATATAGCTTTAAATGCTAACAAAAAGTGGATGCAGATGAAAACATTCTCTTGCTGTGGTCCAGGGAATCTCGATGTATTTTTCAGAGACTCACAGCTTTCAGCTAGAGCTGCCCTCCCCTTTGTGTCCACTGCACACCCCCACAACACACATTACATGTACCTAAATACATGCACAGACACACACATGCACATACATATACATGCATGCACACACATACATGCACACCCGTATGCATGCACACACCTGCACATACACACACACTGTGCTTCATGCCCTCACTAAGGAGGCATGGAAGGGAATGTGTGTCTGTAAGGAAATGAAGACAGCTCAAGACCCTAGTTCCCTGGGTGTTTGCACAGGCGCCCTCCCTGCAGACCATCCTTTGGTCTCTTTCTCTCTCTTAATGAGAGAGAAGTAGAACCCGAGTGGGTACCCGGCTGCCTAGCGCTCAACCCAAGGTCACAAGCTTCCTCGGGAGCCTGGTGAGATAGGAGCATCACAGATCCTCCCAAACCAAGGGGGCAGTGTTCAGTGGAGCCTTGTGCCCAGGAAGGTGATAGACAGGACGTCTTGGTTCATCAAAGACACAACCACAATGCAGTGAGGAAGGGCAGCCACCAAAGGTTTTATTCTCCAGGAGGAGGGGCTCTTGGGGGTTGTGAGCAGGAGGCACGAGGACTTTATTGCACATGTGGTTAGGTGATGGCTGCACTGGGAACTGGGACTCAGAGTGTCCCGACCTCCTGCTCTGTCTCTCTCTCTCCCTTTCTGCCTCCTCTGTCTCTCTGCCTCTCTCCCTCTCTGCCTCTCTCCCTCTCTCCCTCTCTGCTTCTCTCCCTCTCTCCCTCTCTCCCTCTCTGCCTCTCTCCCTCTCTCCCTCTCTGCCTCTCTTCCTCTCTCTCCCTCTCTGTCTCTCTCTCTCCCTCTGTCTCTCTCTCTCTCTCTGCCTCCTCTGTCTCTCTCTCCCCATATCTCTCTCCCCATCTCTCTCCCCTCTCCCCACCTCTCTTTCTCTCTCCCCTTCTCTCCATCTCTCTCTCTCCTCCTTTCCCTCCCTGACCCCCATTTATGCACCTGGGCCCCCTTCCTGGGAAGGCACACACACAATGCCAAGACCATTGTTTGGGATGTGGGGGCAAGGCTGCAGGACTGTGGTCCTGGTGTGGCACCCCCACCTTCCAGCACAAGTGGGGTCGGGGGTCCCAGGCATGACTGCACTCTCCTGGGTGGGCGCCCTGCACTCGGGGAAGCAGAAGCTGCAGGTCTCCACTGGCTCAGGGGATGTGCCCACAGGGCTGCCAGCTTCCATCGCGTGATCTGCAGAGGCAAGAGTGGAGTGTGTGGGCCAGGCCTGGCCCTGCACCAGGGTAGGGGTGACGGTGTGGGCAGCTGCACTCTTCTCCGACCCAGGAGCTAAGGGCAATCACCCAGGCCAGTGTCAGTGTCCCCCAGTTGCCAACCAGAACCTGTGCCTGGGCAGGGGTGGGCAGGCAAATCTTGACTCTCACTTCAGTCCAGCACCAAGCCTGCCAAACCCCCCAAAGGGACACCTCCTCCCGGGCTTAGTCCTAAAGGCCCTGCATCCTGAGAATCCTGGGCCCAGGCAAATCTGAAGGCTGGCACCCCACACCCACCTTTCCTGGGTGCCACTCTCTTGGGTATCTGCCTGCCAGGATGTCTTAAATTGATTTTATCAAGCTACAGCGAATAACAGGGATGAGCCCTGGGCCTCTCCACTTAGAAGCAGGGGCAGTGACAGGATGGAGGGATGGCCCGAGGCTTGTCACCCAAGCATCGAGAAGGGCGAGGACCCCAGTTTCATGAACTCACCCTGGGAAGCCATGGCCGGATTTTGACAGGACCTTGAGCGGGGCTGGCAGGAGCAGGGATCCCCCCTCTTCTTGAGGAAGCAGGCCACTGTCACCAGGAAACAGCAGAGGACGGCACACAGGCAGAGCCCCAGCGTGCTGTAGACCAGGGCCAGCTGATCCGCACTCAGTTTCAGCCCTGGGAGAGCTGCAAGACAGCGTGAGACCCCTCTCTGCAGTGCCTTCTCCTCTTCCCACTCTTAGATTTAGGAATCTCATAAAGTGACAGAGCTGCCAGGACTCTTAGGGGTCATCAGTGTCACTCTGACATTTACGGGGGGAGATGGGAACTTGGGGTGAGCTGGTGTCACTCTACCAGTCAGTGGCTGTCCTTCCTGTCCAGTGCCCAGATCTCAAAGAGGCCTAACAGAGGAAAACAAGACCCCAGAACCTGCAAACTTGGTGCCACATATCCAAGGCTTACCTGCTCCTACTTGCCTCCAGAATCAAATGCAAACAGTGCCCTGGAGGCATGAGCAGGTGAGACCCTGCCAGCCCTCAGAGCACAGACAGAATGCCGGGCTACAAATTGTTACTAAGCGGAAATGAACTGCATTGATTCAAGGAGGAAAACAAAACATTTGTGCATATTTCAAACATTTCAACATGAGATTCTGAAACCCAACTGTTCAGAAACCATGCAAGTGTTCAGAGACCATGCCTACAGCATGGTCACCTGACATCGTGTGGACCATCTGGGCTGGGCTGGGCCTCATTCTATCAAGGAGAGTGCCATGGGGGCAAGGCTGTGCCACTCCGGGCCTCCGCCTCAAGAAAACCTGACAGCCTCAGTGTTTGCTCCCTTGGGCCTGAGCCACCACTCAAGAAGTCCAGCTGGAGAGTCCCAGTGGAGAGGGGCAGGCCCTGAGATCAGCTGGAGGAGAAGCAAGACCTGAATATCCCAGCATCAGAGTCCAGCCTCCAATAGCTCCATCCCCAGCACCATCTGCATGACAGACCCCAAGCAAGAGCAGCAGAAGACCCGCCCAGCTGAGCCCCGCCTCCCCACAGAGCCACACAAGGTCACGACATGAAGATAAGAATCTGGGGACGAGTGTCCAGATCCAGTGACAAGTGTCCTTATACAAGAAGAGAAGGGAGGAGACACAGGCACGGGAAAGAAGCCATGTGGAAGAGGCAGAGATGGGAGTGATGAGGCCACAAGCCCAGGAGACCTGGGTCAGCCACCAGAAGCCGGAGAAGGCAGGGAAGAATCCTACCCTGGAGCTTTCAAAGGGAGCAGGGCTCTGCTGCTGCTTGGATCTCAGACTTCTGAGCTCCAGACCAGAAGACAGAGGATCAGTTTGTGTTGTTTTAAGAACCTAACATGTGTACACTGTCATAGCAGCCCCAGGAAGTACAGGCTATCCTAGGACAGAACCTACCCAGCCAGGGTGACAAACCCTTCAGTCCTGGGCAGGGTTCTGAATGCTCAGCAAACCCGAAGTCACTGAGGCCCCACAAGAGCCCTGTGAGGTCAGAGTCATTATGACCAGTTTAGGTGGGGACAGCAAGGCACGAGTAGCCCAGATGCATGTAGGTTAATTCTGATGTCGCAATTTGTTCAATATTTAGATTTCAGCACCACAGTTTTTTTCTTAACCTTATGTGCTTTGATGCATTCCAGAACCTTATTCCCAGAAGGGGTCACGGGCACCCCCAATGTCTGCAGGACACAGAGGCTGAGCAGTTCCATGGCTGACTACCTCCAGTTCTTTTTTTTTTTTTTTTTGAGACGGAGTCTTGCTCTGTCACCCAGGCTGCAGTGCAGTGGCGCCATCTCGGTTCACTGCAAGCTCCACCTCCTGAGTTCACGCCATTCTCCTGCCTCAGCCTCCTAATTTGCTGGGACTACAGGCGCCCGCCACCATGCCCAGCTCATTTTTTGTATTTTTAGTAGAGATGGGGTTTCACCGTGTTAGCAGGATAGTCTCGATCTCCTGACCTCGTGATCCACCCACCTCGGCCTCCCAAAGTGCTGGGATTACAGGCGTGAGCCACGGTGCCCGGCCTCTCCCTCCAGTTCTAATCTCATGCCAATGCACTATCCCTCTGTCCCTTCCCAGGTCCTTGTCATCTCTGGTTCCTATTATTGCCAGAAATAGCCTCTCACAGGGCCCCTGCTGCCATCACCACCATCCAGAGGCAACAGGGCGCTCTCCCCACAGCTGTGCTCTGACCCCTTCTCCCGTGGCTGCCCCTGTACCCAGCAAGACATTGTCCTCCCAGTCTGGCACATGAGGCCCACTGTCATCTGGCGTCTGGTCCCTTCTAGTGCCATCTCCAACCACCCCTGAATGCTTGCTCTTCCCAACTCAGTCCTCTGCAGCCCCCACACTGGGGGACAGGGTCCTGCCCTTGGTGCTTTTCCTCCTTCTCTGCTGGACAGATGAACAGCCTCACCCACTGGGGCAGGCTCCCTGGGCCACCTGTTCCCCTCAGGGAGACACAGACACTACATGCACCTGCACTGGAGCCCGGGGAGGGAGCTCCTTGCATCAGCCTGGAGTTGTCGCAACAGAACCCCATGTCAAACTCCTCTCCTGCTCAACATCTCAAGTCATTTTCAGTCCAGCTTAGGAGCCTGCCCTGCTCTCCCCACGAAGCCCCATGTGTGAGCAGCAGGGCCTTCTGTGCCCTCTTGGTGAGCATGTGGAGCGGTCAGTCTCCACCTTCAAAGGAGATCTGGGGTGGGGTCCCTCCTGCTTCTGTGGAGTGGCCACCACACTCCTGCAGTCTGGAAGCCTGAGAGGAAGAGATTTAGCCAGTCTCCAGCACAGAGCCCCTCACAGCCTCCCAACAGCCCAGTTCACTGCTCCTAGCAGCACCTGTATGTACTGTTGCCTCTGCCTGGAACCCTGTCCCCACTATGTGGCTTCAACATAGTTGCTTTTTGAATGAGCAGTTCCAGCGCACAGAGCACGTGCTCCCCCAAAAACGTATTCTCCCAAATCACCCTCATAGCAACTCTATGAAGGTGAACAACTCCAGCCTCACAGAACTAAGGCTCAGAGAGGGTCGGTAGCTTGCTCCAGGTCACACAGCTTGTGAGGGACATAACTAGGGGTCTGGCTCCATATTCCACACCCCCGCCCCAGCCTGCCCTAAAGGCTCCTCCTCCAGGAAACCTTCCTTGTCCCCGTGTCACCTGCAGCTGGGTTACGTGGCCCCCATGCACTGAAAGGAATGTGTCATCTGCATGGCTTGTCCACTGCCTGGCCTTCCGCAAGACAGTAAACTCCATGGGTCTGGGACAGGAACTGCCTCATTCTCCCCGCTGCCCGTGCACAGCAAGCCTGCCACAGTTCCAGGTTCAACTAAGGAGGGGCAGTTCTGAATGGGATGCAAGAGAAACCTGGAGTCAGGGTGAGGCGAGGCCTGGTAGGGCTGGAGATGGGGGACAGCAGATTTCGGGGAGCCCATGAAGAGGGCAGAGAACAGGTCAGCCCTTCCACCGTGTGCAGCTGGACAACTTGGTCGTATGGTGTCCTCTGCTCCCTGCCTTTAAATAGGTCCACCTCTGGGTCCCTCCCCTGGCCATGTGGCTCTGTACTTCCTGTTTGCAATCCACAGCAAGCTCCCCTCCTGCCCCACCAGCCCATGCAGGCATCAGAGGTCAGAACAGAATAGACCTTAGCCCTGGGCCCCTGGAGAAATACAGGGCAGGGCAGTGCACAGCGACAGTCACACAGTCACCAAAAGCCATGCCATGGCACAAGTGTGGCAACTGATGCAGGGTGAGGCGTGGTAATGCCGACCCCACTGGCACCAACACGTTCTCACACAGCCCCCAATGCTCACAGCCTGGGGCTCCATCCCTGGAGCCAAGATGAGGCTCCAAGGTTATGCGCAGTGGCCTCTGGGAAGGGGGCTTGGCTGATGGTCACACACAATAAGTGGCTAACCTTGTCCCAGGGACGACAGTTCACCCCCAAGGAGCAATAGCCCTGTGGACACCACTTTGGGTCATTTTGCTGTTGCAGAGGGGACAAACTTTGGAACCCCCAGACTGTGCTCAAATCCCAGCTCAGCCATGCACTCACTGTGTGACTGTCAGCGAGTCACTCCAAATTTGAGACTGTCTCTTGATCTGTGAGGTGGGTAGGAATGACTCACAGGGAAATCTATTACATCAGAGATGGGCAATGTTCCAGGTTTACAGGAAGTTTCAAATGCATCACTGGATGCAGGGAAGGTATGCAGGTGGCCAGACACCAGGGGGGCAGGCATGGCCACTTGCATCGGTGGCTGGGCTCTTCATCCCCTCTGTATCCACACCCCCTCCATGTGAATCTGCACCTCCCCTCAGAAGAGGCTGTGCTAGATTAAAAATGGCCTTAAATTCACCATGACTACAAGTTTCCCCCCACCCCCCGCTTGCTCCTTCCACCAAGAGGTGGCATCTGTTTCCCCTCTCCTGAATCTGCTGGCACTGTGAATGGAAAGAAATGCAGTGGTGGTGATGAAATGCAAGTTCCCAGCCTAGGTGGCAAGAGGCCTGCGTGCTCCTGTCTGCTGCAGTCCTGTATCATCATGAGATGGACGCACCTGGGCAGCCCACTGGTCCCAGGACGGGGATGAGAGGCACATGGAGCAGAGCCAGCCTGGCATAGCTGAGCCCAGCCAAATCCCTGACTCTGGAGGAAGCCCACACCTCCACATTTGGGGATGGCTTGTTAGGCAGCAGCAGCTAACTGGCAGGAGAGCAGGAGATGCCAGGCTAAGCAGGGACAACGGGGTGCTGGGCAACCTCCATCATCAGGCATACAGGCTCTGCCCATGGGACCTTGGCCCTGGGGACTGGCCTCATGGTAATGAGGTTATCACAGGAAAGTCACTGCAAAGGAAAGGAACCAATCAGCCTCGAGAACAGGCTTGCTGTCTCTCCAGGACAGGCTGAGAGCAGGGCAAACTCCATCACTAGTGTTTATGGATCCACACAGCATCCCTCTTCCGTCCTTTCTGATGCCACAGAGCAGGGCAGGTGTACCAAGAGGTGGTTGCTGGGAGGACTAATTAGATCATTTCTGATGCCTGGCACTTAGCAGATGCCCAGCTCAACAGGACCCTTCTTCTCATGTCCAAAGTGGCCATCTCCAGCCATAAGTTTTTTCATTTTCTTTCTTTATTTTTTATTATTTTTATTTTTATTTTTTAATTTATTTATTTTTTGAGACACAGTCTCACTCTGTCCCTCAGGCTAGAGTTCAGTGGCACGATCTTGGCTCACTGCAACCTTCACCTCTTGGGTTCAAACATTTCTCCTGCCTCAGCCTCCCAAGTAGCTGGGACTACAGGTGTGCACCACCACATCCCGCTAATTTTTGTATTTTTGGTAGAGATAGGGTTTCCCCTTGTTGATCAGGCTGGTCTTGAACTCCTGACCACAAGTGATCCGCCTGCCTCTGCCTCCCAAAGTGGTAGGATTATAGGTATGAGTCACCATGCCCAGCCTTTTCTTTGTACAATTTTTTTTCCCTCTGGCAATGGCTAATGAATCACAAAAACTTTTTTAATAATACCTTTCCCTTCTCATTCTTAGGAAGCCTCTTTTGCCTCTAAATGGAATCTGATGGATTCACAGTCAGATTCTACCAGAAGCACAAAGAAGAGCTGGTACAAATTTTACTGAAACTATTCCAAAAAATCAAGAAGGGATTCTTTTAACTCATTCTGGAAAGCCAGCTTCACTCTGGTTCCAAAACCTGGCAAAGACACAACGAAAAAAAAGAAAACTACAGGCCAATATCCCTGAGGAACATAGATGCAAGATGCAATTAGAGATTTAAATGTAAGACCCTAAACTATAAGAATCTTAGAGAAATCCTGGAAAATACCGACCTGGACATTGGCCCTGGGAAAGAATTTTTGACTAAGTCCTCAAAAGCAATTGCAACAAAAACAAAAGTTGACAAGTGGGACCTAATTAAACGCAAGAGCTTCTGTACTGCAAAATAAACTATCAGTGTAAACAGGCAACCTATAGAATGGGAGAAAATGTTTGCAAACTATGCACCCAACAAAAGTTTAATATCCATAATCTATGAGGAAGTTAAACAATTCAAAAATCAAACAACAACCACATTAAAAAGTGGGCAAAAGACATGAACAGACGCTTTTCAAAAGAAGACATGCAAGCAGCCAACGAACATGAAAAAATGCTCAACATCACTGATCACCAGAGAAATGCAAATGAAAACCACAATGAGGGACCATCTCACACCAGTAAGAATAGCTATTGTTAGAAAGTCAAAAAACAACAGATGATGGTGAGGCTACGGAGAAAAGGGAACACTTATACACTGTTGGTGGAATGTAAATTAGTTCAGCCACTGTAGAAAGCAGTTTGGAGATTTCTCAGAGAACTTAAAACAGAGCTACCATTCAGCACAGCCATCCCATTACTGGGTATATATCCAAAGGAAAATAAACCATTCTGCCAAAAAGACACATACACACATGTGTTCATCACAGCACTACTCACAATAGCAAAGACATGGAATCAATCTAGGTGCCCATCAATGGTGGATTGGATAAAGAAAATGTGGTACATATACTCAATGAAATACTACACAGCCACAAAGAGAAAAAAATTCATGTTTTTTGCAGCAACATGCATGCAGCGGAGACCATTATCCTAAGTGAATTAATGCAGAAACAGAAAATACCACATGTTCTCACTTAAAAGTGAAATGTTAAGCACTGCATACAGATGGACATAAAGACAGGAACAACAGACACTGGGGCCTACTAGAAGGGGGAGGTAGGGAGGGGGTAAGGGCTGAAAAACTACCTACTGGGTGCTATGCTCACCACCTGGGTGACAAGACCATTTGTACCCGAAACCTCAGCATCAAGTAACATACCCATGTAACAAACCAATACATGTACCCCCAGATCTGAAATAAAAGTTAAATTATCAATAAAATAATAATAGAAATAAATGGAGTCTGCAGCATTGGTGGAGGGCAGGTGGTGGCTCTGCTCAGGTGCTCACACAGGTGGGTCTGCTGCTTACTCATGCTTGTGCTTCGAGAACTGGCACAGCTTCAGCAGCCCCCAGTACAAAGCTCTTCCTCACATGGCAGGTCCTTTCTCCTGCTTTCTTCTTGTCCACAGACTTCTGGCAATGTTGTGTACATTGTTTTTTTAATCCTGGGATGATCTCCCTGGCTTCTGCCCATTTGCCTGTGCATAGTTGACTCTCCTGTTCTAGGCCTGGCATCAGGCCTCCTACCCTTTCTGACCCTGCGTGTCACCATACAGATTCACCTGGGGTGGCTTACCTGGACTTGCTTCTGAGCCTCTGTGCTCTGATCCTTGGTACCTTCCCGAGTTGTCTGAATTGTTTTCAACTTCTCCACTCCGCTGTCTCCTGAGCTCTGGTGGGAGGTTCATTGGGCTCCTGAGCTTGTTCTCACAGAAGTATGCACATTGCTTAGGGTGCTGTCCACAGATGGAGGCACAGCTGATGCAGTCCCTCAGGAGATGGTCATAGAACCTGCCTTGCTCCTTGCGGCAGTTGAGTGACCCTGGGAGACAGAAGTGCGTAATACTGCTGGGTAACAGACTAGCAGGAGTTGTAGGTTTGACTACAAAAGACATCAAAGTTAAAAAAAAAAAAATTACGGTAAAATTCCAGCAAGCAATTCCAGAGTAAGGCAAGTACTTTTACAATATACACATTGAAGACTGTGCATTGTCCTCTAAGTACTATTTTAGCTGCGTTGCATAATTATTTCTCATTATTATTTCTTCTTTGACCAATGGGTTATTTACAAGTGCATTTCTTAGTTTCCAAACATATGAAGATTTTCAGTTATCATTTAAAATTGAGATCTAGATTACATTGTTACATAAGACCTTTACTTGCATTTTTCAAGCCTCATCAAGGAGAAATGTATTTCAAATTATTTCAAATATTTTGATTATCAAATATTTCAAATTATTTCAAATATTCAAACAATGTGAAATATATTTCAAATTATTTCAATTGTATTTCAAAATATTTCAATAAGGAATGAAGGGGAAAGGCCAGAATCCTCTTTGGCAAGTTGGGGCAGGGGGCTGGAAGGAAGGTGGAAAAGTTCACATGAATAGTGTTTCTTCTCTCTTACTACTAAATAAGAATTATAGCAGCTTACACAAGTATCAGTGCCAAGGCACAGAAGCCAAGGAAACTGAAGCCCAATCATACTTGCCTTAAGAGAGCACAGTGGACCCAACTTTGAATGCATAAATAAATCTATTTGGAACAATCAATTATCTTATCTAAAGCCTCAGAATATTTCTTTCTAATTTTTTTTTTTTCTTGAGATGGAGTTTCGCTCTGGCTGCCCAATGGAGTGCAGTGGCACGATCTCAGCTCACTGCAACCTCTGCCTCCCAGGTTCAAGAAATTCTCTTGGCCGGGCGCGGTGGCTCAAGCCTGTAATCCCAGCACTTTGGGAGGCTGAGACGGGTGGATCACGAGGTCAGGAGATCGAGACCATCCTGGCTAACCCGGTGAAACCCCGTCTCTACTAAAAAAATACAAAAAACTAGCTGGGCGAGGTGGCGGGCGCCTGTAGTCCCAGCTACTTGGGAGGCTGAGGCAGGAGAATGGCGTGAACCTGGGAGGCGGAGCTTGCAGTGAGCTGAGATCCGGCCACTGCACTCCAGCCTGGGCGACAGAGCGAGACTCCGTCTCAAAAAAAAAAAAAAAAAGAAATTCTCTTGCCTCAGCCTCCTGAGTAGTAGCTGGGATTACAGGCGACCACCACAATACCCGGCTAATTTTTGTATGTTTAGTAGAGATGAGGTTTCGCCATGTTGGCCAGGCTGGTCGTGAACTCCTGACCTCAGGTGATCTGCCTGCCTCGGCCTCCCAAAGTGCTGGGATTACAGGCGGCATGAACCACCGCGCCTGTCTAGCCTCAGAATATTTCTACATGAAAGTTTTTCTGTGAAAAAGGCAAGTTTCCTCTGTCTTTAGAATAAGGTATTTATGTGAAAATGTGGTTCACACATATATTTGAAGGACACATTTCAGAGGCAGTGCAGGATAGTGGATAAGAACCCAAATTTCAGAACCAAATTTCAATTGGGGTCATCCCCGGCTGTACCACTTGCAGGCAGTGTGGTCTTAGCCTTTCCATGCCTCAGTTTCCTCATTTCCAGCATAGGGAAAATAACAGTACTGACTTCTTCTTAGGGTTGGTGGCAGAGTTGTAGGACCCAACACAGTGCCTGGTGCATACCAAATGCTCACTTAATGGAAGGCTTGAGTAGAATATTCATTTGAGCCTCTTCACAAAGCAAACACACACCCGTTCTTGTGTCTTTGACAGAGTAAAGGAAGGAACTAAAAGATCACGGAATTGGGACCTTGGGGAAAACTCAGATGGCCCACATGGGGCCAGTGACCTCCCCTGTTCTGGCCCTGTCCTATGCCCAGGTCTCCCCTGAACTGCACAGAAACTGACATCTCCACTCTGTGTCACATAGGGTTAGTCCAGCATTGGTGTCCTTGGGGCTTTCTGTGACCTCTTCCCCTGTTGCAGATGGTGCCTGAGCACCCCAGACCACTGACCCTCCCTGCCTGACCTCACACCCTGTCCCGCCACCTCACCCCAGGACTCGGTCCTCCCTACTGTGTTTCCCACCTCTGCACCTCTGCACATACTGCCCTCTTTTCCAGACATCCATCTGATTTCCCCATTCTGTGGCTTAACAATCCGCCTCTGATGGTGCTTCCTGTAGGGACACTTCTCCACTCTCCATCCCTTCAGCTGAAGGTGGTCTCTCCCAACTGCGGCTTTCTACCTTGACACATAGTCATTTCTCCCATTAGATGACACTGTCTTTGAAGGGCCACGCCAGATTCCTGTTTCCATGGGGCTGGAGCATTCCATCTATGTTTGTGGGATGAACCAATGAATATTCTAATTCATTAATGGGTAGTGGTTCAGGTCATGATTTAGGAGTGGGAGTCCTGGGTTCAAACCAGGATGTCGCTGTGACATCTCCACTTTTAAACTGGGTGATCTTGGATAAGTCACTCATCCTCTGTGAGTTCCCCTCAACAAGTATTCATGAAGGACTTACTATGTGTCAGGCACTGTGTTAGGCTCAAGTCAGACATGGTTCCTCCCCCCAGGGAGCTCCCAGCCTAGTAGTTGAGTTAGACATAAAACACATACACACGAAAGAACAAAACAGCAAATTGTGGTAAGTTCTATCAAGGAAAAGGACAGGTTATGAAAAAGAACAGCAAGCAATGAATAGTTTTCAAGACAATCAGGGAAAACTGAATATGGCCTGAGTATTAGATGATGTCAATAAAGTACTGCTGGTAGTGATAGGATATTTGGGTTATGTTTTACAGGTCTTCGTGGTCCAGTATCTGCAGGTAAAATTATATGAGATCTTGGCTGTGCTTTAAAATACACAAGGCAGGCTGGGCGCAGTGCCTCACATCTGTAATCCCAGCACTTTGGGAGGCTGAGGTGGGTGGATCACCTAAGGTCACATGGAGAAACTCCATCTCCACTAAAAATACAAAATTAGCTGGGCACGGTGGCACATGCCTGTAATCCCAGCTACTCGGGAGGCTGAGGAGGGAGAATCACTTGAACCCGGGAGGCGGAGGTTGCAGTGAGCCGAGATCGCACCATTGCACTCCAGCCTGAGCAAAAAGAGCGAAACTTCATCTCAAAAAAAATAAAAAATAAAAATTAAATTAAATTAAATTAAATTCACTAGCCAAAAAAATTGGTTGGGAAAGTACAAGGCAGAATTTAAACAATTTGTGAAGCTGGTAATGGGTGCAGAGGGCGTCGTTGTGCTATCCTGTCTATGTACATGTGTGATAAGTTCTGTAATAAAAAGTTTCAAAAGAATGTAACAACAGACAGTGACAAGGGAGGGCCTAGTTCTACTGGGTGATCAGAGGAGACCCCTGATGTTTGGGCTGAGACCTGAACATTGAGTAGGAGGGAGTTGAGGGAAGATGATAGAGGGAATGCATTCCAGGCAGCAGGAACAGCATGTGCAAAGGACCTGAGACAGGAAAGAATGTACTATGTTTGAGACACTAGAGAAAGTTGTGTGACCAAAGCAGGAAGGTGGAGGGGTAAGAGGTGCCACACTGTACATCTCCTCCTGCCACCCTTTCCTCAGCCACCTGACTGTGGGGCCAGAGGGTGCTCTAGGGAAGAAGGAGGAGGGTGATTGCACTGTCCCCTGGGCTCAGGCCCCAGAACTCACTGCAGAAGGTTGCACAGGTGCGCTGGCTCTGATGGTTGCAAATGGCTTTGCAGGACATGCAGGTGCCCAGCAGGGGATCCCAGTACTGCTCTTCGGGGCAGGATCTCATAGCCACCCCTGTCCACAGGCCCTGTGGAGCTGAGAGACCAGGAGAGTGAGGGCAGCTGGCAGGCGGCCACAGCCCAGCCTCTTGTCCCTGATGGGAACCCAGACAGCCTCTCCTGCCCACATTCCCACAGACAACCTTTCTGTCTCAGGAGCAGAGGGCAGACAAAGCTGGCTTCCAACCCCCACTGCACTTGCTGGAGGCCTGGGGCAGCCACCTCCCCTCTCCAGCCTCAGTTTCCCCATCTGCACATGGTTGTTTTCAGGCCCTCTGCTCTCTGACATCAGCAGTACCCTGCTGGGCCCTAATCCCTGCCCTCCTTAATGTGCCATGCCTCTCCCTGCCACAGGGTCTTTGCACATGCTATTCCCTCATATGACGTGCCCTTCTCCCCAGCCCCTGCCCCTCAGCTGCTTATTCCTTCTCAGACTGAGACCTCTGTCTAAACCTGATCTCTAAGGGAAGGCTTTCTGACTCGCCCCCAGACTAGGACGTGGTCCTTCTTCTACACACTCGCACTGCCCTTTACTTGTTGCTATGGCCACTTTCCTTATTTGATGCTGGCTCCTACACTAACTGTGAGCACCATCTGGCAGGGGCTGTGCCTAATTTTTCTTGTTAATTGCTGAGTCCTCAGAACCTAGACAGTACTTCGGACACAGTACGTGCTCATGAAATGAATGATTTATTTAAAAGCAGACCAAGTCAGTGCCTAGCACACAGCAAGAGCCAAGAAATGTCAATTTCCTTTCCATTTTCTTTTTTAACTAAAGTATAAAACAACCACAATGATGTGTGTGTGTGTAAGGTGTGCAAAAAGCTGAAGAATACAGCTTGGTGACATTTGATGTATGTATGCACCTGTGTCATTACAGCCCACATTGAGATGTAGAATACTTCCTGCACCCCTGAAGACTCCCTGGGGTCCCCTCCCACCCAGTGCCCACTCCTAGAGGCAGCTACTGTTCCGTTGTTACCCCCATAGGCTAATATTGCCCCTTCTGGAACTTCCATGTCTGGTTTTGTCCCTCCACGTGGTGCCTGAGACTCATCCATGCGGGTGCTCTCTGTGTGTCTGGTTTTGTGTTACTGTGAGTCTTCCACTGTGTGCAAGCATCACCTTCTCTATCCTTTTCTGATTTCATGACAATTGCTTCCCCCAATAACTTCTCCTTAAAAATATTTAAAAGCGGCCGGGCATGGTGGCTCACGCCTATAATCCCAGCACTGTGGGAGGCCGAGGCGGGCGGATCACGAGGTCAGGAGATCGAGACCATCCTGGCTAACATGGTGAAACCCCGTCTCTACTAAAAATAATAATAATAATAATACAAAAAATTAGCCGGGTGTGGTAGCGGGCACCTATAGTCCCAGTTACTCGGGAGGCTGAGGCAGGAGTATGGCGTGAACCCGGGAGGCGGAGTTTGCAGTGAGCCGAGATTGGGCCACTGCGCTCCAGCCTGGGTGACAGAGCGAGACTCTGTCTCAAAAACAGAAAAAAAAAAAATGTTTAAAAGCATTTTGCAAGACATGTATTTGTTTTTTGTTTTTTTTTTAAACTTTCTTGAGAACAAGCAGGCTACCCATAAAACTCTGTTAGTTACAAAGTCCCGACATCTCAAAAGCAATCCTGGGATGTGAGGAGTGACAGTAGACTGGCAAGCTCTGGGAATCTGTGCCTCCTGCTAAACGACTACGGAGCTGCCAGCCACTATCTGAAGTCACTATTTGGGAATTCTGGAGTTGTCCAGGGGAGAGTTTGATGGTAAATTTTAGGAATGTCAGCCTATCACATGGTAGTGGCTACTATTCCACAGCAGTGCCGCTTGCTGGAGCCAGGATAAGCAAGAAGGACCCTTGTCCTCCAAATATTAGGGTTGTGGGTTCTGATTGCTGATGACCGCCTGTGACCACTGAGGGGCCAGCACAAAGGACATTGTTTCAACCCCCAAAGACTGAAGTGGCTTCCAGAGGATTTAAAGAGAAAGTATCCTTCTCTGGTCTGGGAGCCAAGCATTTAAGGAAATCTTTGTCAGGTCACTGGTTGACTGCAGAGATAAAAGAACAGAAACTTCAGTGACTACACACAACAAGGAATACATACCGTGCAAAAATACAAATTAAAGTTGGGAAAAACAAAGCTTAAAACGAAAAGTTTGGAAAAGTCGCAAACAGATAGCTTCAGCCCTTAACACGCAAGGTTCAGAATCCTTGAGGAGTTTGGTAAAGTTAGATTTCCAGTCACCACAACACAACACTCAAAATGTCCAGGTCTCAAAAAAAAAATTACAAAGCATACAAAGCAGCAGCAGTTTTGCCACATTTACAGGAAATACAGACTCTGACAGAAACCATTTCCAGGGAAGTCTATACATTGGGATTACTAGTCAAACGTGTGAAATCAAGATTTGTGCTAAGTATGTTCAATGAGCTTAAGGAAACCATAGACAAAGAACTAACGGAAGTCAGGAAAATGTTGTATGAACACAATGAGCGCGTGGTAAAGAGACAGAAGTGGTAAAAAATGAACCAAAACTTGGAAGCAACCAAAATGTCCTTCAGTAGGTAAATGTATGAATCAAGTGTGGTATATTCAAACAATGGACTGTTATTCAATACTGAAAAATGAGCTATCAGGGCATTAACAGACATGGAGTAACCTTAAATGCATATTACTAAGTGAGAGAAACAAAGCTAAAAAGTCTACTGTATGATTTCAACTCCATGACATTCTAGAAAAGTCAAAACTATGGAGACAATAAAAAGATCAGTGATTCCCAGGGGTTGGAGGACGGGAGGGATGAGTAGGTGGAGCACGGAGGATTTTTAAGGCAGTGAAGCTACTCTGTAAGCTACTCCAATGGTGGACACATGTCCATGTACATTTGTTCAAAGCCATGTACCACACTGAGAGTGAACCCCAATGTAAACTTCAGACTTTAAATGATAATGATGTGTCAGTGTAAGTTCACTGATTGTAACAAATGCACCATCTGGTTTAGGATGTTGATAGTTGAGGAGGCTGTGCCGGGGGATGCGGACAGGAATGTGGGAACTCTCTGTGCTTTTGCTAAATTTTTCTGTGAGCCTAAAAATGCTCTAAAAGTAGTTTTAAAAACAAAACAAACAAAAAAAAATACAGAAGTTCTGGAATGGAAAAGTCCAAAAAGTGAAATATGAACCTTAACAGACGGGGTTTATCAGCAAATTTAAGCAAGCAGAAAAAGGGATCGGTGAACTTAAAGATAAAACAATTGAAGTAATTGTCTGTGTAGCAAGAATGAAAAAAGATTGAGGAAAATTGAACAGAGCCAAATGTACTAACATATGCTCATAGAAGTTACAGAAGGAGAAGAGACAAAATGGCAGAAAAAGTATTTGAAGGAATAATGGCCCCAGACATCCCAAATCTGAAAAAAAATGTGAATATACTCATTCAGGAATCTCAATAAATTTGATGCAGGAAAACCTCAAAGAAACCCACACCAAGACATGTTACAATAAAATTGAGGAAACCCAAGGCCAGACAGAATTACGAAGGCAGCAAGAGAGAAGCAGCTTCTTGTGTACAAAGGATCCTCAATACGGTAACAGCTGATTTCTCCTAAGAAACCGGCCAGAAGGTAGTGTAATGATATATTTAAAGTCCTGAAAGAAAACAATAAGCTGCCAACCAGGAATTGTATATACTTTTAAATCACCTTTCAATAACGAAGGAGAAATTAAGACATTTCCAGATAAACAAAATCTGAGGACTGCACTACAAGAAATGCTAAAGGGAGTCTTTCATGCTGAAATAAAAGTACTCTCGATGGTACCTTGAAGCCATAAGAAAAAGTGAAGTAAATATAAAGGTAAATAAATAAATATAAAAGCTAGAATTATTTTACATTTGCATGATTTGTAATTCCTACTTTGTTCCTATATGATTTAATAGGTAATGAGTAAAACAGTGATTACAAACCTATGTTAGTGACAATAGAGTGTACAAAGATGCAATATGTGACAATAACAATATAAAGGGAAAGGCAGGGAAATATAGGAACAAAACTCTTACGACCCACTGAAACTAAGTTGATATTATTCAAACTAGGGTGTCATAAGTTTAAGATATTAATTGTAATCCCCAATAACTAAAATATGTATAGAAAAAGAAAGAAGAGGGGACTCAAAGTGGCCCACTACAAAAAAAATCAACAAAATACAAAAATGAAGTAATTGAAGAAACAAAAACATGTAAGACATACATAAAACAAATATATAAATGACTGAAGTAAATCTTTATCAGTAATCATGTTAAATGTAAATGAACTAAACTCTGCTAGTAAAAAAAAAAAAACTGGGCCGGGCGCAGTGGCTGATGCCTGTAATCCCAGCACTTTGGGAGGTTGAGGCGGGTGGATCACAAGGTCAGGAGATCAAGACCATCCTGGTTAACACGGTGAAACCTCGTCTCTACTAAAAATACAAAAACAAAATTAGCCAGGCGTGGTGGCGGGCGCCTGTAGTCCCAGCTACTCAGGAGGCTGAGGCCGGAGAATGACGTGAACCCGGGAGGCGGAGCTTGCAGTGAGCCGAGATTGCGCCACTGCACTCCAGCCTGGGCGACAGAGCGAGACTCCGTCTCAAAAAAAAAAAAAAAAATTGGCAGATTGGATTTAAAAACCCACAGGCTTTATGTATATTCTGTGTGTAAGAGACTTATTTTAGATTTTAAAAAAATACAAAGCCAGAATTACTTTACATTTTGCATGGTTTGTAACTCCAATTTTTTTCCTATATGATTTAATAGACAATGAGTAAAATAGTGGTAAAATAGAAGTTGAAAGTAAAAGAATGGGAAAAGGTATTTTATGAAAATAGTAACCAGAAGAGAGCTGGGACAGCTATACTACTGTCGGACAAAACAGACTGTAAATCACAAAAAGTTTACGAAAGACAAAGGACAATATATATTAATAAAGGGGACACAGCATAAAGATGTAACAATTATAAATATATACACACCTAATGACAGGATTCCAAAATATAT